TGAGAACTATGTGCTAGGGAGCCATCTTGAAACTGATCACACTCTAGAGAATCATCTTCTAAGGAGAAATACACATCATCCGCGTGCAACTGCAAATCTGGGAGAACATGAAATTCTACTTCATAATACAAAAGAGACCTCAAAAGTTCAAAAAGAAAACATCAAAGTATAATTTAGTGTTATTTCTCATGTTATATTATCGAATAAAACATCCAGTTTATTTCAGCAGCAAAATTTTGCTCTCCAATAAGTCAAAGAGAAGCACCTAAGATCCAAACATTACCACCAGCTAGTTTAAGTCAAGCAGCAGATTTCCAATAAAATCATCAAATAAAGGGACTAGGAGGAAACCATCGGCTGGAATCAGAATGGAATGATTCCAACATAATCTCTCGAAGATTCCCTCTGGGAAGGTAGAGTAGAAATTAACATGATAGAATCAAGAAAAAATATAAATAAAAAGAAATTCAATTCAAATTAAATTACTAAAAAAAAAAGTAGTAGGTAGTAGGAATGAATGAATATGTTTCAATATGGACATAGGCAAAGGCCATGACAAAAATATTTTATGACAAAATACACATTTCTTTGTTAGATACTCCAAAATGTACTTTACAGAAGAGAAACCAGAACTAACCAAACTGAAAAGGTGAATGACTAATGAGATTCATCATAGCAATAAAAACTCAACAGTGCCCACTTGCACAAAAGTACTTCTAACACTACAACATCTAGACATGCAAGGATATTACTAGAATGAAGAACCACAGCTTACCACTTGTTCACCATAGAAATTAAATAATGTGGAAGAGTTAACAATATAAGACCACTAGTCCCGTACTTTTTCACCATAAATCTCTAAATAAACCCTAACAAACCTGCTCTATTAAGCAAACACCCTCACAAACTAGACTATTGAGTGTGAACAAAATGATGCAGAATAGGATGCCCATTATTTTTTAAATTCTTTTATTAAAAGTATTTTTGAGGTTTTTTGGGTTTATTTTAGGTTTGTTTTTTAATTTTAGGATTTTTAGGCTTTTTTAGTTTGGAAAAGTAATGAATCCTTATATTTATTTTATCAGGGATAAATATGTTATTGCAAATTTTATTAAAAAGGACTTCTAATACAATTAGAATTAGGATTTCTTGGGTTCGGAGTGAATTTTTTTATTATAAATAGGCGTTGCAGTAGGGTTTTTCTTTCAGAGTTGTTCTATTTCTTTTAAGAACGTTATTTCTTTGGAAATCTATTGAATCCGCAGAGCCATTGAAGCTAGACTTGCTAGCTTCCAATAATTTTCATTCAATACATGATTTTCCATGAGTTCTTTCCCATATCTTGTTATTCAAATTTGCATCATATGGTATCAGATCGAGCTCTTATCCCAAAGCTCTCGAGGAGGCACAGCAAGTTTGTGTGATGGCTACTAGAAGAGATGAAGAGATCGAGGTGGTCATGCTTGAGGTGGTGAGCACAGTCCGTAGAATGATATCAGTGACATAATACTGAGAAGGGCCGAAGTTGATCAAGAAGGCTCAAGAAATTGATGCACAAGGTGCATCAAAACCATAGTTGTTGGAAACGCCTGAGAACCCGAATCATTTCAGGAACCGGAATCGCAGAATCGCACCTGGCCAGAAGTTTCCCGTTGTAGGAATCATTGTTCGTACAATAGAAATCGTTGGGAACAAGATTCCTAATTTTCAGGAATCGAGTATCGAATGAAATAGGTCCAAGTTTCGTCCACATATGGAATCAAGATTCCCATCCCCCTAGGTTCAACACTCCAAGTGTCAAGATTCATTAATAAGCGGAATCGAGTTTCCATCATCTATGGAATCAAGTTTTCGACATATGCGGAATCGAGTTTCCATCATTTATGGAATCGTGATTCTAACATATTTAGAATCGAGTTTCCATCATCTATGAAATCATGTTTCTAACATATTTGGAATCAAGTTTCTGAACTATATGGATCAGAGATCCATGCTGGTTCGAGATTGAGAATTACAAAAGCGGAATAGTTTCCGTCATCACCTGATTCAAGTTTCTGACATATGTGGTACTTAGATATATCGTTGTGTAGAATCGTGATTCTTACATATTTGGAATCAAGTTTCTGAAGTATTGAAGGGGCGAGTTGGTCAGGTGTCACTGGGTAGACTTTTTAGACATTAGGAGTACTGTAATACCATTTAGGAAGTGTCAGGTGTCACTAGATTGTTTAGACATTAGAGGAGTTTGGGTTTTCTCAGGCTCAAGCCATGACAGTGTGTGGTATAGGGCCTATAGGCAGTGTCGTAGCTACAAGGCTGCATGTTGTGCATGAAGGAAAGCTGGTAGCATCGACATGTGTTAGTGTATCATCTAAGGGAGAACGTGGTTGGCAAAGCTGGCACTGGAACACTAACTCACCCTTCAAAAGAATGAACTATCAAATTTAAATATTTAGAGTTTTAAAGTACTAACTACTAAACATGACGGTGATGTCTTTTGCAGGTAATAAAGGCGGTTATAACTTAATAACTATCGGACCATTTGAAGTTTAGATGTTTTGGAATAGATTTTTTGGAACTAAGAGGACGTGGCCATGTGATCATTAAGAGTTACTTAGAGTTAAGAGTTAAGACTAAGTACTCCACATCTTTACCCTCATTAAAAAGCACACAGCTCGGTGCTTAAATATTCCACATCTTCAAGCTCATTATGACAGGGCAGATTACATTGTATGTTTGTTTTGCACTATGAGTTTTTCATAATAAATTTTATTTTTGAGATCGTTTATCTTTGAAGCCATTTTTTTTGTTTAGGAGAAGCAGTCCCTAGTTCCCACGACACCAAAGCATCAAATTTTTGGAGTTGGAGTTGGACTATATACAAGTTACAGGATGCAATTATCTTTTACTCATTTTATTCACAACTATTGACCAATAAAAAATCAAGTGTACTATGTTTGATTAAGTGTGGGACGTAATCCACTGAGAGATTTTAAGTCAAAGTCAAAAGACTCGGAACTTTAAAATAAGGGTGCGGTCTGCAGATAAATGCATCCTTAGCTGTAGAGTTCAGGTTGAAGCAAATCACCACATTCAAGTATTTCACCAACGTGTGGACTGCGCACTAAGACAAGCGAACACTATTGCTTACCGGAGGCCTTCCTTTTACCGAAGATAGTGTGATTGTCAATGTGATATTGGGTTCCCCCATAACGATTGGTGTTCTTGCGCCAAAATGGTGGGACCAGCATATGTGGTTCTTGTGACTCTATTTACTAGAGGTTTAGTCCGAGACAATCTGAGACTGAGAATGAAACCCATTATTGTTATTTTCTGTTTTTCTTTGCTTTTTATGTGTTTTTGGTTTCTCCCTCCATGAAAGCAAGTCAGCAAAAGAGAGAGAAAGTCCATTAAGAGAGAGAGAGAGAGAGAGAGGATATAAAAAAAAATGGACGAGGCATAGCATGGGAGTGAGAGAGAAAGAAGGGCGAGGGGTGGAGAGAGAGAGTAGAGGGAGACTAGCCAGCTGTGGGGGATGAGGGAAAGAGAGAGTACAAAGAGACGGTTGCTAAGAATTAACATAAGAAAAAAATTTCACCAAATGCTCCGAGCAAATACATGGTAGACGACCCATGAAAAAATAAGGAAAGTGGGTACAAGTAAAACTTTCAAGCAAGACAACTCAATACAAAATTTCATTAACAACTGCTTACTGAAATGAAATGAAATGAGCAAATACATGCAGAGCTCTGAATAAAGTTAAGATAGATGACCCATGAAAGAAAGGAAAGTGAGTTCCTAAAAAACTAAAGGAAAATAGAAAAAACAAAACTAGATAACAGAGAAGGAATTATGTGCTTCATATAAAAAAAGAGTAGTGATCCTATAGGACCCTGCCACAAATAGTGGTGTGAACCGTCCATCTTAAGTCAAATCATAATATAAAATTTAGCACGTTAACTTCATTTTTTTTCTTTCCCCCCATAAAACTTCAGTCCACCATACAACCTGTCCCTGTAGAAGCTTTTTTTTTTTTACTTTTGGAGAGAGACAAAGTGCGTAAAGCATCACAAGAATCATCCCCTTGGAAGACCGAAATGGGGAAGAAGACATCTCGCTAGTTTCTCTCTCCTTAACCCCTACGACCAGTTCCTTACATTCAAGAAAACAACCAATAACCTGCCAACGCACAAATTGCTCTATTGGCCAGCAATTTACTTGCAGAAGAAAACCAGCTAATGATGGATTCTACAAATCCAGTGAAAACAACCGTTCCCTCTGAATTTCAAGTTCAATTTGTTTCCAATTAATATCAAAGAGTAACATCAGTAGAGAACAAGACGGAACAGAAGAACTGATAGACAATTCATTGCTTCCTCTCCTTAATGAGAATGAATCCTTTAAAGCAAAGATTGATGGTTTTTCTGAGTCCATGAATTTCCGAAGGAGTTTGTGAGGGCTGTGATAGTCCCAAATCAAGTTATTTTTTTTGTTGATAAAAAATTAATTTTTTTTGATAAAAAGTCCCTAATCAAGTTTTTCTTCTGCAACTTTGGATGGAGGTGAACTGCAAATTCCAGTCAATGTTGCAAGAAAATCTCTACATAATTGAGGGCATTTTGCCGAAGCATCATTCAAATGGAGAGGGAAACAGTTTTCAAGCAAAGGAGAATGAAAAGAAATCTGCTAAATACATAGATAACAGACCACCAAACCACGTGCAAACAATCAAAGAGTCCAAGTTCCACCATCAAGGAAAGCAATGAAAGGCATGAGGATCACAGATGCACATTCCAAAGGAGTAAAAGATGGAGACCAGAAGAAATGGCAGAAAAAGATCACATAAATAAAGAGCCACAGGAAGGGCTCAAAGGAAGTATGATATAGGTTAGAAATAGCCATTTGACACAGGGAGCTATCAAAGGCAAATGAGTTGCAAAGAGCAAGGCAGTGGTGAAGAGGACAATGAAAGCAGAAGAAAACTTCAGAGAATCAATGGTGGAGATGATCTCTGAGAATGGGATTGGAAGTCCAAAAGAGTATGGGATTGGAAGTCCAGAAGAGCATGAGGAACTGCTAGCCTCATATACATACATG